CATGAATTATTTGAAATAAAGAAGAAAATAATTTGTGATATCCTTCAAATGTAAAGACATTTGTAAAAACTCAACAAAATGATAATACTTTAAAATACAAATAAAATTAACAAAATTATATATTTTTTAATTAATAAAAATAATTAAAAATTACTTACTTAAATGATGATTAGAATCTAGAGGTTGGAAGTGAATTTATTTTTTATATCCAGATTTATTTATTTTCAAAAATTGGAACTGAATTTAATCTGAACTTATTATATCCAGTTTTTTTTAAATTCAATTTGGATTTATTATATTTGAATTTATTATAATCAAAAAAACCCTCAACTGCTAGCATTATTAGAAAAGGTAAACAACTTTCATAATGCTTTGCATGTAAATATTTAAATTTTTTTGTTTAACGAAAAAAATCTTATTATAGCGATAAAAAAATAATACATTTGATTGCATCCTTTTCTTTTATTTAGGATACTTTTCAGGCTGCAATACATAAAAAAGTTTTTTAATAATTCTTTTTTATTTATTTTATTTTTATTTTTTATTAAATTTTGTTACTCATTTTTTTAGACGATTGAATCACAGCAGGTCATAGCTATCGAAAAATTGCGTGATATGTATTTTTTATTTTTAGTTTTCAATTTTCAATTTATCTTTTTCATTAATATTTTTATAAAGATATAATACTTGAACTGAAAGAAATTGAAAAACTCGCAAAAATTTACAAGAATAAGAAATAAAAAAAATCTTCACTCAAAGAGAATGATGATAATTAATTAAAAAATTTTTAGTGTTGAATAAATAATATCACTTGTTACATTCACATAATTCATTAGCGTAGCATTTGTAAATAAATTTAAATTTAAATTTAGTTTATAATGATAATATAATAAATTAAAATTTACAAATGAAAAAAATAATAAGTATTATTATTTTCATTTTGGGTTTCTAAATTAAGAATTTGCTCTTAGATGCAAACTTTGACTAATATAATTCAATTGTTTTTAGTTAATTATGACATGCATTATATGACTGGTCAAAAATACCAGGGTTTAAATAAAGTCAGATATAATAAATCCAGAGGTTTAAATATATTCAGATATAATAAATCCAGTTTTTCTGCTAGATAAATTTTGTATCTGGTTTTAAATCTAAATCAGGGAAAACTGGATTTAAATCCAAAGGTTAAATTCAGTTTCATCCTCTATTAGAATCATATGTATTAATTTTAAATTCATTAATTTCTTCTTTTATTCTTTTAAAATTAACATCAATTTGAAACTATTTAAGTGTAATTAATTTTTTAGCTTGTTTAGTAAGCATACATGTAATTATTACTTGATTATCATTATAAAGATCTAAAATAAAAATAATCATTAATAATTATTTAAATAAAAAACAAAATAATAAAAAATTAAAAAATTTACTAATTTTACGAATATAATTATTCAAATTAGGATTTGTATTTGATATATTATGATATACTGTATATCTATAATTTCTTGTCCAAATAGATATAAAGATTTATATGCTTTCCTAATCAAATAACGTAATTTATCAATATTATTCAATGATACATAAACTTCAGCTAAGGTTCTTTATTAAAATATGCCTTAATTAAATTGCCTATTAATATATCAAAATTAAATTAATATACTTAATAAATAAATAAATTAATATTTAATATCTGATAATAAAGATCTTGAAGTTATAACATCATTTTCATCTATTGCTTATTCAATTAAAGGTTGTAAATTACTTTTAACTTCAGTAGGAATTCTTTCTGGTGATAGTGGTGAATGATTATATATTAATATATATAAGAGCAATAAAAGAACACTTGATAATATTATTAGGAATAATTTTAATAAAGCATACTAAACAAAACTTATTAATTATTTTACTACAAATAATAGTTTCATTATTTGAATAAAACATATCTTAAATTAAAAAAAATTAATTAGTTAATTTTAAAAAAATAATTGATTTAATTCAAAAAAATAAATAAATATATTTAATAATTACCACATTTTTTCTTCTACAATTTTTTAAAACTATCATATTACATTTTTTTGTTTCTTGTACTTAAATAAATAAAAAATTAATTTTTAACTTTAAATAAAATATTAATTAATAAAAATCAAATACTTACAGGTATAGAACCTGAAAATAAATTTTGAAGTAATATAAAATCAATTTCTTCTGGTTGTTTAATTTTAATAAATCTATGCCATTTTTCATTATGTTGAAATTTATCATATCCAATAAAGTATGAAGTTATATTAGAATTTATTGTAGCAATTCTTTTAATACAAGGTTTTTCATTACAAATTTGATTTTTATTTTTATTTTTATAACAACAAGAAATATCTTTTATTGCTAAAAAATAACTAATAAAATTTAAATAATTAAATTAAATAAATATTAAAAATTAAAAAAATTAATAAGTTTTAATAAAAAACTTATGTATATATCTAGCTTCTTTAGTATTATTATCATTTTATATTGTATTATAAAATTTTTAGAATCAAAATCAAACACTATAATATTTTTGATTGAAAAGTTCTGAATCAGTAAATTGACAATTTTGATGTCTTGACATTTTCTTTCATTTTTTTTTAATAGATATTCCACCAAAAAAAGACAATTTTGAATATTAATTGTTCTTTCTAAACTATTAGTTAATATTAGATCTTAATTATTATAAAAAAAAAATTTTTTTTATTAATAAATGAGTAAATATTATATTATTAAATTAAAATTAATATATACATATATCTTGAAATGCATCTAAATAGTTTTTCCAACTAATGATATTATAAACTATTGCTATACCTTCTGGAGAAGTATTTGGATATTCCACAGAAACAGTTGTAAATATTACCTTTGAAACTTGTAATTTAGAAGTAAAAAAAGCATATGTTTTCTCATTTTCTTCATTTTTAATAGCTTATTTTTTACCTTTATTCTGTTTTAATTTTATTAATTAGAATATATTAAAAAAAATTATTTATTTTATAAAATATTTACTTATTATTTTAATAAAATCATCTACAGTAAATTCATCTATATCTGAAAGATTAATAGTAAAAGACATTTTTACAAAATTTGTTTTAAAATTAAAAGAAAATTCTTTTAAAAAATCTTATACATAAAAATCCTTATACGTAAAAAAAATTGATATTACATATAAAAAAAACTTACAAATTACTTACTATTAATGATCTATATATAGAAAAAAAGAATAAAACAACATGGATTCTATATATATAAAATATTTGTTTTTATAAAAAGAAGATTTAAAAGATTTAATCTAATTTCTATATAAAGTATTATTAAAATAATACAAGTTATAAAAGTTATAAACAAAAATTTTTCCACTATATAAAAAAAAATTTTAAAAGATTGGGACAATTTCTGAAAAAATTTATCAATATAATCTACAGTTTTATTTGAATTAACATTTTATAATGAATATAATAAGTAAAGATTAGCCCATTATATAATTAAGAAGTATCAAGCTAAAAATTGAGATTAGTCTATAGAAATATTATAAAAAATACTCAAATATAAAGTGATAAAGTATATTGCTTTACTTTGAACTAATTAACAACTTATATAATTAGTTAGAATTATAAATTTTATAAAAATTATATTTGATTTATACAAAAAATGCTAAATAAGATAATCGTTAACAAGTTTATGTGATTATACAAATTAGAACTTTCATTATATTTTATAAAGATCTAAAAACCTCAATAGGTTTTTATTATAGCAGAATTTTGCTAAGCCTTTTAAATAAGCTTCAGTATCTTTGATCATTTTTCTAACCTTTCTTTTTTTAGCAGGAATAGAAGAAATAGAAAGTTTATTTTTAAGGCATTTTACTATTTCAATTTCTATTTTTTACTCATATTAACCTGAAAAATTCATATATCAAGAATTATTCTTTAATTATTCATAGTGTAAGAAGTAAGGAATAGTAATCATCTAGTTTTAAAAAAAAGAATCACAATATTCAATTCTTCCTTTTTTCACATTTAAAGAGAAAATATTGCTATTATATAAATTTAGAACTTCTTCTAAAACCTACAAAATGGTAAGCATTATTAGTAAGTTTACTGAATTTAAAAAAAATTACCATTTTTTTTATAAGAACTCATATCATATACAATAAGAATTGTTAGTGGTTTTCTTTGAATTTAAAAAAACTAATATTTTTATAGAAACTTATTTCATATTTAAGACGCAAAGAACTTTAGGACCTACAAAAAAGTAAGATTTGTATTATTGGTTTTCTTTTAAATTAAAAAAATCTAAAATTTAAAAAAAAACAATTTTTTTTATAAGAAACCACTTCTGACCTGAAGAACTTTAGAACCTAGAAAAGATAAGTGTTATTAGTGGTTTTCTTTAATTTAAAAAAAACTAACTTTTTTTTTTATAGGAATTCACCTCTGATCTAAGACTCAAAGAACTTTGGAACCTACAAAAAGGTAAGATTGTGTTAGTGGTTTTCTTTAAATTAAAGAAAACTAAAATTTAAAAAACATTTTTTCTACAAGAACTCACTTTTAATTCAAGACTCAAAGGATTTTAGAACCTACAAAAAGATAAGATTGCGTTAATAGTTTTCTTTAAATTAAAAAAAATAAAATTTAAAAAAACATTTTTTTTGATAGGAACTCACCTCTAATTCAAGACCTAAAGGACTTTAGGACCTAGAAAAGGTAAGTATTATTAGTAATTTCTTTTAATTTAAAAAAAACCCAATATGGTTTTTATAAGAACTCACTTCTGATCTAAGATTTAAAGGATTTTGAGACCTAATAGTCTTATCAGACTCTAAAAAAGTAAAGAATGGTTATAATAGAAACAATTATTTAAAAAAAATTTTTCATACTATACAATAATACTTTGCTGATCAAAGTAAAGTAGGGATGTAATACAAATATGTATGATGTGATAACTATATATGAACGTACATGAAACCGAAAATGATGCCGATTTGCGTTAAAAGTTTAATCAAATACATACACAAATTGCAGAAGGATATTGATATTTATAGTATTTATTTGGCAACGGATTATCCGCTAGTGAATGCGGGTAGAAAGAAGGCGCAATCATCAACATTTCATATCATATCTGAACAACATTATGATGCGATTAAATTATTAAACAACACATTTACTTTAAATACTTGGGCATCAATGAAAGCATTGGATGTCCTTTTTTATAAATTTCCCGAATATAAAAAAGAAATTAATGAGGAATTTACAGGTTCTGGATTACAAGGAATATTTGATAAATTAGTCATGATAAATTCGAGTTATTTTATTTCTGGGCCTAAAGGTTGTGTTTATATAAGATCGAAATTTACAAAAAAAAATTGAAGTAAGAAGGTTAATGCAAAGTGAAGATAGAAATATTTTGAATGACATTACGCGTTGGCCTTTAGATAAAGAATAAATTTCACAACACAATTACTATAATTTCATGGCTTTTTTTATATTTTGTACCTGACACAATTCCGTCCCATAAAACTAAATAAAGATAAGATACCCATGTGAAAATTTTAATTTGTCCAAAATTTTCATTTCCCGTTTATTGGTTTGTATCAATCCTGATTATGATCGGGTGAAATAATTTTTTTTTTCTATTTTCGCAAATAATTAAATTATTGAAATTTTATATGTAATACAAGCAAGAATGCTATTGTTTCAGGAATAAAATTTTTGATTAGTTTTGGCACTAGACTACCAAAGTTTTAGGAGATATTAAGTTCACTTATGCATTCTTAATGTCAAATGCAATTTTAGATTTTACGTTTATACTCATCCTAACGAATTTGCGTTGTCGATCAATTTAATATCGATACTTAAAGGAAAAATAAAGAAAATACTACTATTACTACCTCAGCTGAATTACTTAATTGTTTCTATCGAAATTACAAGCGAAACGAAACTAAACCTTATTTATAATTAATTATCCTTTCAAATGTTGCAGGATTAATTGATGGCGATAAAAACTATTAAAGACGATATAACGAGGAAGTAAGATCCTTACAATTGAGGTTTAATATATCACGCCGTCAAATATTCACCTATAAAGTTGAAATATTTATATATGTCTACTGGATAATGATACTGCAAAATAGAGTACTTGCGTCATTATCGTCAAAAACCAAGAAGAATATTCATAATCATTTGCTTTCATTTCGTTGATTTATGTATCCTTTCACTATAAATCTACTGTAGACATCAGAAAAGTTCACAGAAGAACGAGAACAAGCTCAGGAGTAAACAAATCGCCATGATTTCTGATATGTCCTGAAGTGATCAAAATCCCCAAGTAAAAAAAAAATGAATCTAAAGATGGAGATACATGTACATATATTCGATTGCTACATTCAAAACGACCACCATGAAAAATTAAAGCTAAAAACCCAGTTAATTAAAAATAATAAAAACCTTATCACGCGTTGTAATCGAATTAGTTTTGACGTTTTCCAAATTTTATTTTTAAAGGCAAAACGCCGAAAGTTTCGCTCAATACCCCTCAATATATTATTTCCTTTCGAGTACATCCTTATTAGAATTTAAATCTAAAAGTAAAAATGGAAACATAAATTTTAAATAATATTTATGGTAACAACTTTTTTGACAAACTTATACGCCGCCGAACCATCATGATATTCATATAGATATTTCTTACAACATATTTTGCACGTGATTATAGGTTTACGTATAAATACGTGATCATTCCAAATAATGTAAACTTTATACCAAACCGTACACATAACTTACAATATGGCAACTATTTACGGTAACGAAACGGATTCTTTTATTCCATGGATTAGTATAAATTCCTCTCAAAATACTCAGGAAACTACAAACACCTCTCTTACTTCCTCTGATGTCGAGGAGATCGATAAATATCGCAAGTATTGGTGGAAAACTGGTAAACTGCATTCGAAGGCCAGGTGGGAAGAAGCAAAGTAAGTCATTTTTACTATTTGCTTCGACAATGGTTATTTTTACGAGCTAATGCTTAATGTTTTTTATTATTAAGGTTGCCATGCGAGATTGTGACTGATGTTTCCTATGATACGTATGTTGAACAAACGGATAAGCACAATATCCGTGGTTGGTGGGAATGGGAAGATGGAACTGTCCGTGTAATTGAAATTCCTTCAATATTTCACGAAAACTGTGAGCGTGCGATTTCCCGGGAAATTACTGAACAGACAGGAGGTGTGAAGAGTACTTATGCAGACATTCTTAATTATGGATCATCTTGTGAGTGATTTATGTTTTTTGATGCTATTAGGTATAATATTTTTCTATCTAACTATTTTTGCTAAAAGCAACAAAATCGCGTGGATCAGGCAAAGACCCGGACGCTTCTTTTCGACCTAAGGCAAAACCACGAGTTAATAGAGACGGATCTGACGGAAGAGTATGAATAATTAATTTTGCTCATGTTCTGATATGATTGTTTTAAATATCCAGTTTTAACTTGTGACTTTGCATTCTTAGAATCAGCCATGGCCAAATCTAGTAGTGGAGATTGCATACTCACAATCTGTAGCAGATATCAAACATAAAGTTGAAGATTACTGGCTCAGAACTGGTCGAGCTCATGACGTTATCATGATTAAAATAGAGCCACCAATTGCACCAACTATGATTCCAGTATTTATGACTGTAAGTAATGGCTAAAGGATTTGATTCCTACTCAATTTAGCACTGTCGAAATAATTTTTGTATTCAAATAGGCCTGGCATTACTGCATTAATAACCGAACAGCTGCAGGAGCATTAAATCCTATAATGGTATGTTATTTACTTTAGCATAAACCCAAATTTGTAAGACATAAATTAAAGTATCTTTATTTAGTATGACTTCTCAACAACCGATGATCAAGGAAATCCCACCAATCTTCAACTTGGGCAAAGAGTTATTAATCTTCGACTAGCATGCCTTTATCACAATGTGCCAGATAATGTTTTGAATCCGCCACCTCCTCAACCTAACCTTGTTGCAAATTTACCTAACCCAATTACTATTGATTTATATCACGTTCAGCTTGCCATTTTAGATTGCAATATCTAGATATTAATCAAAAAATAGCTTTTATTAATCATTTCAATTATTGTTTGTATTAGCTTCCCTTTAATACTTACAATAAAATTACATTTTAATTAAAAGTTATGTAGGTTAATTATAAATAAAATATACTTTTTAAATATTAATTAAATACTATAGTTCTAATTGGCCAATAATGGAAATATTGTTACTAGGATAAATTACTTTTAAAAATAAATTTAAAATGGAAAAAGTATAACTTAAGTAAAATTTAGACATGTTATAATTAAACATGAAATTAAAATTAAAAACTTAATGTTCAAAGTTGAAATGAAACCAATATATTATATATATCATATGGGTTATAATTTAAGAAAATTTTATTTTGAGAATAAATATTTATTTACATTTTAATAAAAATTAATATATAATCAAAATCTCAAATATGTTAAAATTTTCTTTGAATCTCTTATTTTCTTAGAATATAACATTATAATAAATACTATAATTAATTTACTCTCTAAGTGAAAATTATCCAAATGATTTCATTTGTAAACTTACAAATAATTTGCTATATTAGATGATTTTATCTGTAAAAAAAAATAAATTGCAAATCTTATTATGTGATTTTTATTATTTATTACATTAATTGATATTTGCATTATTTAAATAAAATAGCTTATATATCTCTTTTACTATCAAAAATATATATTTATTCATTTAATGATTGATAAAATGACCTTTATATATCAAAAAAAATTACATTATTTTTACTATTTATTAAACATTTGAATATCATAAAGCATAGTGACCAGTTTGATTGTATTTTTTACAATACCTTTTTTTTTGCTAATTTGACTTCCTAAAACTTTATGATCTTTATTAGTAATATTGGTTATATTTTAAATATGTTTTATTTTCTTTTTTTTTAAATTCACCATATGATTTATATTGTTAATAGCAATTCTTTAGTGTTTATGAATTATAAATGGGTTTAAAGTAAGCAGAAGATTTTAGGATTTTTGTGTTTGATGTATTTTTCTTATAATAATAGAGTTTTTAATCTAATACAATGTATATAAGGTATTACCTACAACGTTATTGCTCTATATGAACAGGTATATTTATTAATTATTATTAAAGTTATTACTATAAAAAATATAAAGAAGTTTATTGTTCAAGGTTATCAGATATTTCAAAGATTTATTAAATACTTAAAAAATGAAAATGAACAGAAAGAATATTTGTTAAACATTAATCAATATTTTTTAACTTTATTTTTTATTCAAGAAAAATCCTACCATTTATATATATAAAAAACAATAGGATATTTTGTCTAGTAAACTAATTTTGTCAGAAAACAATTATAATCAGTAGACTAATTTGACTCTGAAACAATTACGGCCAGTAGACTTTAATGTCTGATGAATAATATTAGACAAATGATTTTTTGCCTAAAATTAGTAAGGTATTAAAATAATAATTGAGGCAAATATCTTATATTATATAATTGCAGAGTCTTAAGAAAAAATATGGATTTGATATAGAATATACTAAAAATCTCTCAATTTGGCTATTTAAACTGATAAAATTGATGAATTTGTCAATTAAGTAAGATGTTTTATTGAAAATATAAAAGCAAAATTATCTAAACAATAGAAATATACAGTTTTATGTATATTAGTAATTCATTAAAGGTATTGTTAATGTGTAATTCTTGCGAATTACAACTATTAGACGGGGTATCAGAGGTGTCAGAGTGTTATTTCTTTTTAATTGCACAGTAATCTCAATGATTTATAGGTGTACTTTTTATGACTAAATTCAAGTTGAAAGATTTATATGAAGGTTTCATAATTAATAATCAAAAGGTATTGAGTAATTATATTTTCAAGTAATATATTTATTAATAAAATAAGAATTAAAAATAAAAAGAATAAAAGATATGACAAGAGAAAAGAAAAGAAAATAAAGAAATGAAGTATTAAATTTAAAAGTAAAATAATAGGCTTGTTTGCCTTTAAAAACTACCAGAAAACTGACTTGTTAAAATCCTACTTTTTACATAATTTAAAAAGCTATCTATTTATATAAAATATAGTATATAGAAAGATATAACTAATATGTCTAATATATCGTATATGTCAAATATGTTCGATATATCATATATGTCGAATCTGTCTAATATATTTTATTTATCGATCATATCAGATATATCATATATGTCAGATTTGTCAGATTTGTCAATCATTTACGCCACGTAAGTCCTATCATATTTTATTCGTTCACAGTATGAAGACTTAATAAATCATAATAGAGGTGACACACAAGTGAATTACACAAACATTATGAGAAATAAATAAAAGAATAACATAAAAAAGTGTTTTATTAAACTATAAGTAATTACACAATCATCATTGCTAATTCTTCACGTTACATTTCTTCTAAATTAATTACTTTTCTTTTTCGCTCTCTTTTTAATAATCCTAACTTATCCTATTTATACATTTTGAATTGATCTAAGATTATAGATATATTAGATAATTATTACATAAAGATTGTCTTTAACTATCTAATCATTACATAATTATTACTACATATTTTATTGCATAGTTACTATATCATGACTATATAAGAATAACTATTTCCTAACTATGATTTAATATCTTTTATAATTACTACATTTACTTCTAATTTTTAGATGTGGTATATTATATCATGTAAAACCAATTTTATTGATCAACATTTTAATTTATGATTACATTTATATTATAAGATTGTTTGCTGCAATTTCTTTGATGATGAATATTAATCATGTTTTTTTGTATTACATTTTTAGTCATGTGATTTGCTGTATCTCATTTTCACTTGGGTAATAATATATTATCATTCCTTTAAAATGATTTTTTTCTTGTTTTTTTAGAATGATGTTATTATCATTCTGAAAGAATAATATTTTCATTGTTCTTAAGGAACAATATCATTATCATTTCAAAAGAATATTTTTTTTATCATTCTTTTAGAACAATACATCATCATTCTGAAAGAATAATGTTATTGTTTTATTATTCTTTCAGAATGATATATCATCGTTCTGAAAGAACATATTATTTTTATTATTCTTTCAGAATAATACATCATCATTTTAAAAGAACAATTATTTTTTTTATTGTTTTTTCAAAATGATATATCATCATTCTGAAAGAATGATCAAACTATTGCTTTAAAAGAATGATTTTGTTACTATTCTTAAGAAAAAATCAAACTATTGTTCCTTTAGAATGATTTTTGTTTATTATTCTTTTGTAACAATAAAACTATCATTTCTTTATTAAATTATTATTTTTATAGAATGATTTACTATATCATTATTAGGCAATAATCAAATAATTATTGATTTTGCAATTGGATAATACAAAATTATATGTTTGAAACATTTATTATAAATAATATAAATAATATCTAAATTTTAGATTAATTGAAATTTTAGTTTATTTTACAATGCATTTTTTGGAAAAAAAGGTTGGACTTTGCATTCAACTCTTATATATACACGAAAATTTGATCACCAACTAAATATTCAAGCATATAATCATTGGTTAGCTGATACATATCAAGACGTATGGTTTACTACCTCATCATTATGTGCAGTAATTGAATCACTTAATACTAAACCAAAATGGATTACCTTTCTTTCTGATAATGAGTCATGCTATCATAATACGGATTTTATGTTAATTTTAGGACATTGGAATGAATGGTATAACATTATAGTAAAAAAATGGATTTTTTAGAGGCAGGTAAAGTGAAAACTTCTATAGATTCTCATCATACCCAAGTATATATTGATTCTTCAAATAACTTAGAAAAATTATTATTTGTATTTACCAATTTTTGAATTAGATTTCACATGCAATAAGCAGTTAAGATTTGATATTAGTGAAGGTATGGATATAAAAAAATGCTATTAAAGGAATCTGTAGCACTTAAAAGAAAAAAAGGTATAATTTTTTTTTTGTATATAAAATCAAATTTATTAGTATAAAAAATACATTATAGAGACGAAAGAAAAATTCAATACCTGAAAATTCTAATTGGAATGAGTAGTCCTAGCTAACAGAAGGTGAATATGCGGGATTTATCCAGGCTCGTATAATTCCCAATATTGGGAGATGGATAATTTGAGCAACAAAGATAACAAATTTGAAAATAACTTCTTGAAAAACCAGATCCCAAAGTTTTAGATCATTTGACTCCGACTTTTGATTGAAATGTGTCATTACCTAATAAATTAAGTATATAAATAAAGGTTAATTTAAATTTTGATTATAATAATTTTTTACATTGATTTTTGAGGTAAAAGTTAATATAAATCGTCTTACTATTGATGAATTGAAGCAAAAGTTGAAAGATTATGATATTGATACAACAGATATAAATAATAGAGTTGTGTTAGTAGGAATTTTACAAAGTAGATTAGATAATATGATATTAAAGCGAAATAAAGGTAAGTATTTTTGTTTATAAAATTGTAACTATATTTACTCAAAACTTACTTTTTTTAAACTAAGATACATTAAATACTGAAACTGTCAATACTAATTTAGATTCAAAGCAAGTTTTAGTTCATACTTAGGATTTTGCATTGTCATGTGAATGGGCTTTGAAAGAAAAACAGAAATTTGGTAAAAAAGGAGGGGAAATAAATAAGCAAACATGTGATTCCATACCTTAAAGCGTATTTTTGGTTGAAGATGTTAATAAAAGTGAAAAATATACAGCTCAAGAAATGTATAATGAACTAAAAGAATTAGTAGAAAAAGGAATTTTAGAAGAGAAGAAATTCCAAAGGTTATTACCATTGGTAATTGGATAACTTGATATGTATAAGCCTATTGTAAAGTACAAGCTTAACAAGACTTAGCACAAATTAATTATGTATTAAAAACTTTTATAATTTGATAAAATAAATGTAAAAAGGTGTTATTTTCATAAAATAAAAAGTTTAAATATTGAAATTGTGAATTTATTTCTCATATTTATAGGTAGGAATCTGATGATATAACAAATAAAAGTTCAAAGTTTTAGTTAAAATATAGTGCAAAAATACAAAAATAACATGTGTATAGTATTTATTCTATTATTAGCATATAAAATATAGAACTTATATTATATAAAATAAAAGTTCCAGCTTAATTTAAAAAAAAAGTGAATTAGATAAATTTTCTATATAATTATATGATCAGTGCCTCAAATTGGAATAGTAATTTCTTTACATTGTACATGAATTACGAATTAAATAAATTAAAATTAAAATAATAATCATAAAAAAAATTTTTATCTTGAATTTAAGTATTTTATTAATGTTAATATCTAATAGTTAAAATCTATCAGTTAACTCTTTAGGAATTACAGCAATATTTATTTGTTTTTTATCAAGTTTAATTTTAATATTATTAACTAAATGATTACAATAAGAATTAAATATCAAAAGACTTTTTGGATCATTATTTATACCTCCTTTATTATATCACATATTTTTAATTTACTAAAACATTTCTTTTTTATTAAGACTTATTTTTACTCTATTATAAAAGATTTCACAAAAAATATTTTTCAATTTGAAAATAATTATAGGTTCTAATTTAGTACTATCTATTATATATATCAAAACTATTGTAAAATAATTTTGTTTATAACTAGTTGACCTAATACTAACAGTTTAAATAACTTTGATTCTAATATTATTAAAGATATTAAATCAAAATTAAGAGAAGTTTTATTAAGATTAGCAATTAAATTGAAAGAATAATTATATTATATATGCTTATAAAAAATACAATTCATAAATGAATGCTATTATTCAATTAAATCTTTTGATAATTTTTGGAAAATAGTTATTCTTTTTCTATTAGATAAGTTATTTTTACTAATAAAACTATTTAATCACTTATTAAAAATTTAAAATTTTAAATAGTTTTTTTCATTTTATTATTATTTACCAGTTTTTTTTTTTTTGCTTTTTTCACAACTATATTATAAGTTATAGCTTTACATTTCTGCTTAAATCCTGAACCTATTAAAATAATTGTATTTCTAATTTGTAAATCTTCATATATGTAATTTTTTAATACAGTATATAAAACTGAAAACATAAGTTGTTTACTTTTTTCCCAAATTTTTACAATTTCTTATTTGCTTTGAAATTAATATCAAATCTTTTTGTAGCAGCTTTTTTATTTTAAACCTTTTATGCATAATATAATATCATCAGACTTTATGAGTATATCATTATTGTCAAAGTTTTTTAGTAAATTTAATATTATCACTATAGTTAAATCTAAAAAAAAAATTATTGGTCTTATCTATTAATTTGTTACCTATATAAGTTAAGATTTGATTACTATGTATTGTATCCTATTATATCACAGTACCTTCTGATTATAGTATCCTTAAAATTTGTAGATTATAAAATACTTAAAATAATATAAAGCATATTTTACAGTATTTAGCCCAATTAGTTATGCTGATTATATGTTTCCTTATATTTGAGTTAATAAACAAATTAAACAAATCTGAGTTTTCAAAACTTTGAAATGATAGATACTTATTAGTATTATTTATTTTATGGGAAGTTAGGACAGGTTATGTTGATTATATAGCTTAAAATATATGCATATTTTTCAAAAAAAAGCATCCAAGTTAAATTTTGCTGCAAAATCCTAACCCATAACCTTAAGTAAACTTGCAGAATGAGCAAAAATACACCTACATACATAGTTTTTAAGTCTAAATATAAATTTATTAAGGTTTGGTTTTGAAAAGAAAAAAAATTATAAAAAGTTGTCTGTGGCGCATGCACTGATACTTTGTCGATCATTTTCAAATAAGTAATTTAAAGTACTATATCCGGCATAACCTGTCACACATTCCCATGAAATAAATACAAATTTAATATAAGGATAGTTCTACCTTTAATTATAAAGAACTTTTTTTTATCGTAGGCTTATGAAAAGTTTGGCACTTTTTTTTTTTGTAAGCCTATAAAACGGAGATTTACAAAAATCAAGTTATTATTATGTCTTCATTAATAACCGAATCGAAGCTTATGATCGGGTATTATTTTTTTATAAGCCTATAAGAAAAACGATTTTTCCCGCAGATTTATAAAAAATTAAGTTTAATCATCATAACAATTTAATACCAGTTTACTAACTTATTATTTACAATCATCTGCAGGAAAAGAAAAAATTTTTCTATATAAATGATTCAAATTTGGAGGGGCGTCTCTCTTTTCTCAACTCGTACATTGAATTGAATTTTTTTGCTAAAAAAAGCCCAAATCAGGTATAAATTTGTCCTAGTTAAAAAATTTTGATATTACACATGTACGCAATTATTTAATTGAACTTTACATTAGCAATTATGCATAAAAATATTATTTTATAACATTATCCTTATTAGTTTTAAATATGGTCAATAAAAAAGTATAAGCCAATTTATAATTTAATTTTTTCAATTGAAACAAATTAACTAACTGCAATTAATACCAATGACAATTGAGCTTTCGCTTATTGGTTTTTTTTTTAAAAAAAAAAAATCGAATCGAATGTCAGAATTTATCACTCGATCTTTATTGAACATTTATTATAAAAAATTTAAAAAGTGTTCAACGAATGTGTTAACGGATGAACGAATAACAAAAAAAAACACAAATAGTGAAACCGTTGGCCAAAAATAAATATGGAAAATATGTACAAGAATGATGATTTGCTTCTCCTCATTCGGCAGAAATTTGTGATGTTGAATCAGAAGTAGAAATAATTGGAGTGTTTGAAGTGTTTGGAGTATTTTGATTATTTGGAGTATTATATGGGGTGTTTAAACTATTCAGACTATCCAGGCTAATTGGTCTAATTAGATTATTTCGAACATTTTGAATATTCTGAATGTTCGGAATATTCGAATGATTACAATAAGGCATCAAATAATTATTATTCTCGATAATAATCGGTTTCTTGTGTATTTCAATTCTAACCTTTGCAGGTTTTTTCAATGAAACGGCAGGATAAAGTTCAGGAGGTAACGTGTTCCAAGCTTCACCATACCTGATACCATTTATAGAATAAGCTAAAGATCTATTACCCATGTTAAGATGTACGGTAATCCTATCGCCTTTACCAAATTCCATACCATATTCTCTCAAGCTCGATTGATCATTATGATAAAGTGAACCATTTGAACCTAAAACCCAACCATAAACATTTCCCCCTAACCAGGTAGAATAATCTACTTTAAATTTTCTTTCGGTACAAACCCCTATCCAAAGATGTTTACAAGTCTCTTCAATAAAGATGTCCCATTCATAAATTTCATAACCACGAATGGGTAAGGTGGTCCTGGCCCATTCATATTTTTTTGAAGATGATTTTAATAAAATGTCATTTTCAGATAGCATACATTGTTTACCACAAGCTTGTTGACTCCATTGTAATCTCAAATTTTCCGGTTTGGCCGTTATAGTACCACGATTACGTTTTGGACCTGAACCTGCAGGTAATTGCGCTTGATACCTAAAAGCGTCAATCAACATATCATTCGGCACGATATCCAAAGGTTCAATTATGTTCGCTAATACTGAAGGGTGAATCAGTTTGAAATCCACGCAAGGTAATAATGTATTTAATGTTGCCGTGATTGATGATTTAATTTCCTTTGATTTCGATTTTTTTGAATTCTTTTCGTGTAATTTTCTTAATTGTTCTAATTCCCCCACGTCCAAACATTCCGCATGATCTGATGATGGTAATAATGGTTCAAAATATGATAAAATCGAATCATTATTTTGTTCACAATGATACGCAGACCATAATATTATGTAACGAAATATTCCATATTCCGATGTAACAAATTCTTCGTAGCTCGTATTAGTATTGAGAGGTGATAAAATAAATGTTAATCCTTCGGCCGTCAAATTATCATAATCAATTGATTCTAATGGGGTTACCACTAGGCAGTTATGTAATGTGCGAAAGAGCGTATCATCAGATGATGGTAACATAAATTCTGATGCATGGGTTAAGATCTTCGCCGATAAATTATTATCCGCACTACATTTTAATGCGTTATCTAGAAATGTTATGATGATTTCTTCCAATCCTGGTAATAAAAAATATTCCGCTCCTAAATACCCTTCTACCACATTAGTTAATGTTAATGATTCCATCGTTATGTTCCCCATATATAAATATTCTAATATTATTAATAATATTTCTGAATTAAATTCCGTAAATGTTAGGTTATTCTCACTATTATCAAAATTGAGTTTATTCAAACTTAAACTGCTACTGTTGTTATTATTCTCTTTATCATTCAATTTGGCGTTATCCTTTATTAATAAACGAGCGAATACATCTGATCTTGCCGCCAGTAATAATTTACTACCGTAAACCACTCCTCCATCTTTGCATGTTATTATGATATCACTATACACCGGATTATTAAACATGGCTCTCAAATCAGCTCCCAAAAATTCTCCTCTTTGAAGCAATATTTCTTTCATGTTATGGTCATTTTTTTTGTTTTGAGATACGCAATTTCCCATTTTTTCCTCTTTTTTTTCTTATTAAAAGGTTATTGTTGTTGACAATATTAAAGATATTTGATTCGAGGAAAATATAAAAAAAAAAATTCAAATAAATAAATTGGTAAAGCAAGGAGATAAATAATTTAATTTTGAAAAAGGCATAAAAAAAGTATTAAAAAATATTTAACTATTTATATATAATAAAATTTTTCATCAGCACATGAATTGATTGAAAGTATGCGTTATGTGGTGTAACCTCTCCGAACATGTTAATTCGAAAAGTGGACAATATATGTATGTATAGATGTGTGATAGTAGTGGTATAGGATTTGCCAACCATTCTATAAACATTCTGCATATCCTTTAGATCATTTAAATTAAAAATACTGGTTACCTGACGAACAATTAACAATGATGTAACTAGACCTCTATCGTGTAAATTATTACTGCAAGTTTCAAATAAAATTTGTAGAACAAAAAAAAAAAAATCCCAATAAATATTTAATATAAAACAAGCCGCAGCACGAATTTCTATTTCAGCCACCCAGTTTTATACCTTATCAATAATGCACGCCAAACCTAATTCATCCTATATTGCATCATCTATTTTTATTTAAAAATTTAAAAATCTTGTTCGGTTGCATCATTAAAAAACCAAAAAATAATTTTAAATAAAAAAAACTTGTCATATCTTATATTTTAATAAACAAAAATCTATAGAAAAGTTCATATTAATAACATACATATTAGTAATCATCACGTGTATTAATATAGTATCGAAGGTCTATATATGTATTGATTAAAAGTTTCAGTGCGTGTAAATAGAAACGTAAGCGAATTTTGTTCTTTAAAGACAAAGAAAATACATAAAAAACTCGGAACAAATACCTACATGATCGTATATGATCTTATACATATCCACCTCCTCCAGGAACGCTATGTATAATGTTTGTACTAGAAGAATTTCTACTACTTTCATTAGCGTTATGAAGATGTAATGTGGAGGTAGAACTGGAAACATCATCATCCACCAAATCCAGTACTACTCTACTTTTTTCACTCCAATCTGTGAGAGTTTTACTTACTATTATCTCATGTTGTTCATTAAATGCCGCTTGTTTCGAATGAATGCATCGAAATTCATAAATATCTAATAATGATTAAAATTTGGTTAAAATGTATAATAAAAAATATATATATATATATATATATTATTTTATAATAAAACTTTTTATACCTTTTAAAAGACGACCCGAAACAAAGCATCCTAAATCATTATTTGCATTCTTTGATAACAAATATGCAGCGGTTAACATCTTTTCCGCTTGTTCATTCTGTGTAGAATAGAATATCGCACCAAGAACTGAAAGCGTTAAAGCTTTAAGCTGATTATTGGATGATGTTGATGATAATTTTAAAGTTTCTGCCAAATGTTCTCTACGAGAAAATTCAAAAAAAAAAATAAATATATCAGCAAAGTTAAAGTTAAAAAGTTTACAACAAAAAATCTCGGATAGAAAAAAAAATACATATATGTATATATATTATCCTTACTTTGTTCGTGTATAATCGCCACACGATAATGCCTCCAAAAAGTGTACCATGGCTCTTAAGCTATCTATGTGATGCGTTTGATACATCATTTCTTGTTTTATTTCCTCTATTATTATTCCAATCTATCATAAATAAAATAAATGTCTAAGCATCCTTGTTTTAAATATTATAGAAAATTCCTTTAGTATACACACATCTTGATGTTGTTGGTTATTACCAGAACTACCAAATAATAGTAGAGCACGGTTAACTTTGGATAGTATTCTAAGTTCTCTATTTTCGGTGGTCTTTAATAATGATAATAATAATAATAAATTAATAAATATATTGTTGAACTAACAAGAAAAAATTCTCATAAAATAAGCTACCTTTTCTACTTCTTTATAATATTCCATTGCTTCATAGGCTTTACCAACACATTGATTTATCATTCCAAGTGCAAGTGTAACTGGTACTTGGAATTGCGCCCATAAATCATATGCGGTTGCCCAATTCATCAATTGCGCAATAGTCTTTAAAAGAAATATGGAATATTAATTCTATAATTCAAACTTCCAAAAAGATGTTGATACTATTTATGAATAAATCATCTCACTTTCTCGGCATCATTAAATTCTGACCTAAGCAAAAAAGAATCAACTAAGTGTTGAAGCATGTATGCCTTTAGCATAACGTAAAATTTTTTAGATTTGATGACCTCATGAACCGGCAATTGATTATCTTAAAATTTAAATTATATTAATGTGGAGTTACATTTAAATTATCAATACACTCGAACATTACCATCATTTGAATAAATTTCCCCTATAAACAAATAAAAAAAGTGTCAATAATCTGAATAAACAACGCCAAATCAATATATTATATTTGAATAAATTACTCTCAACGATCTTCAATCCTTCTGTTAAGAATAAAGTAGATTTTGTTGTTGCATTATCTCCACGATTACATATACCCGATATTAAAAATGTAAGGGTGTAAATCTCTGCTTTTGATAACCAACGAATCTTGACCGGCAAACTTGATGCCGATGATGCAGCATTCGAATATGTAGTCATTGAAGTTGTTGGAGCAGCAGATATATGTATCTAAAAATAATTCTATGAATTAAATGATATTATAAAACTTGTAATAAAATCAAAAAAATATATTTTTTTTCTATTTTATTTATTTACCGTGGTAAAACCTTTCAATTCATCTACTGTCTCCTCATCCCGTTTTTGATCTAAAATATGATGCACTTCTGTTAATTTTTCGGTGGCAATTTTCACATTACCAGTATGCATATGAAATGTAATAAATAATAATGAATAATATAAATGAAGTAATTGATTAGATATCGGAAAAATGTGATATGTTTGTGGATGCATATTGGAAGACGGTGGAAAATAAACCGTTGAAAGTTCAGCAAGAGCATGTTGCGCTATTGGATAATTTTGACTTGAAAACGCATATTGAGCGATTGTAATTAGAAGGCAAGCCTATAAAAATTTAAATATTAAATGATAATCAATTTACAAATCAAGCGAAAAGTACCAAGCCTCATTTCATCTCTTTAAAAATTCACTATGTACCTTCATCTCAACGTCCCCTCTCTGATCTGCCATTGTCTCCGCTTGTTTTAATACCGATAAACATCCATTAAAATCACCCTCGGAATAATAAAATTCTGAGCGTTTTAACATAAAGTGATATGTCCAATTTGGCATATTACTCCTACAATCAAGATTTCAAGGTTAGTAAAAAATTTCATAAAATAAAGTTAAATGATTGTAATAACAATAAAAACAAATAATAATAATAATGATAATAATTTACACACTCCATTGCTTCAAATGCACTTGATTTCATAAGATTTCTCGCTACTTTATGATTATTCGTGCTTTTGAGTATGTTACATTGAAGGTCAATCATTTTGAATTTGAGTTCTGTAACATTATCAAGCTGTTTCAAAATAGATAAACAAAAGAAGATTAAAGAAAAGTATTTATTTATTCATTAATTAATAATCAAATGTATTTTTCATTATTTACCTTTTGAGCAAGTAACATCGCCTTTTGTAAATGATTTTCTGCTTCTCTAATATTATCAGTAAACCGAAAAAGAATTTGACTTAACCTAAAGCGTGTTTTCAAGTCTACTAATGACATATAATTATTCCCAGTCATCATACTTGTAAGAACCGATTCTAAACATTTGATCGCTACCAATATATGTTGCTGGTGTTGTGAGGATAATGCTGGAAAATTAACTAAAGATGAAGTTGGTAATGCAGATGCTTTTATTAAATAATGTTCCGCCAGATACCACAACAATTGATGAGGCAATAATTGAGGTTCTTGAGATTGTTGTTGCCGAGAAAAATGAGATGATGAATGCTGTTGGTAGACATTTAAATTTGAAGGAGGTTGCGGGAGAGGTTGTGTCGGTACTACTGGCTGCGACAATTGACGTGGTGGAGTTAAATGTTCCGAGGATTGCTGCTGCTGTGTGTATTGTCGTTGTAATTGTTGATAAAGTTGTTGTTGATTTGTTTGTTGTTGAGTTTGAGCGTATTGATTTACTTGTTCTACTTGATCCTGTTGCTGAGGCATATGATAAGAGTGCGTGGGTATTGAGTTTTGAGAGAGTTGCGAATGCACAAAAGGAATAGACTCATAACCTCCGTCATAGCGCATATATCCATAATGAGGTTGTGGTTGATGGTAATAGTGTTGCTGGCTTTGAATTCTGTGTTGCTGAGGGTGTTGCTGAGGGTGTTGAAATAAAACTTGCTGTTGTCGTAATTGTGAATGTTGTTGTTGCTGTTGTTGTTCGTATTGCCATTGCTGTTGTTGGTTAGGCCATGCCTGATAATTTGAAGGGTAATGATGCTGTGACATGTGAAATTTTCTCTCGGGGTTTGTTTTAACGTAAGAATACTTTAAAAATCATAAGTTTCAAGCGATGAATGAAAAAAGGTGGGTACTTATATATAGTAATATTCCGAAACACAAGAGATTTAGCCAATTAAAATTCGTCAAACAACGCATTGACATTTCCACAATAATATTTTTTTGAAAAACGATGTTAAAATAGTCCATATGGTCGCATTAGTTAATTGTTACACGATCTTGATCTTTTTTTTTCTTTTTCATGCAAGATCTATGCAAATTGATCAAGGTCCAAAGCTACATTTACTGCGGTTCCTGACTATAATAACCAAAACCTTGGGTTTTTTTTATTTGGATCATCAAAACAATATATAAAAATACATTGAAAAACAAATGATTTTCAAAAAAAAAAAAAAATTAAACTTTTCGACGCGAACGCGTTTGAATTACCAAAGATGCCTTTTGTTCGACGGATGCTGCTGCTTATTATTTGCCGATTACTCAATGTGACACGATATGAATTAGTTCTGGCAACTACTTCTTAAATATACGTTTCATTGTCTGGTTTGATTGTCGAAGTATCATCATCTGCATCATCAAGAATCGTGACAATCTTACGTTTCTTACCAACTGCTTGGATAGGTGATTTAACATGTTTTGTGACCGGTTGACTACTAGACAAAGGATCATCCTGAGCTGTTGTGGTTTTACGTTTTTGACGCGTTGACCTTTTAGGTTCCTTTATCAAGAGAGGATAAAGACAAACGTAAATAACATGATGATCAAATAAAAGAAACATTGGATGGGAATATTTATAACTTACTACATCCTTAGAAATACGTGAACGCTTGATTATTATCCGTTCTACCCTATCTTCAGGTAACTTTTGTACACTTGGTACAATAGCACTAGTTCTTCCACCTACAGTTTCAAATACAATCTGCTCTCCATCCGGCATAAACGCTCCATTCTTTGCTCTTTTACTCCATCTATAATGAAAGAGCCAATTGTCAGGAAACAACCGCGATTCAGCATTTACATCAACAGCTGTTTTGCATACATATACCAAATTCTCATGAAGTGCATTGATTTGTTCTTTTATGAGTGTATGTGTGTATTGACTAGGATGTACATGTGATTGAAACAATACTTCATCTGCGACCCAATTGCCAATCCCGGCAGAAAATTGTTGGTCCAATAACAAAGCTTTGATAGGGCACTTTCTCTTCAAAACCAATCCACTGAATGTCTTCAAGTCCGGCATGTTTCGCAAAGGATCAAATCCTAACCTTAATATAGGATCATCCTGCAACGGTGAATTAGTAACCAGACGTATTCTTGCTAATCTACGTACATCAGTGAATGCCATAACAACTTTTTCAGAAGGTTTATTAAGCGAGTCCTTAAATGTAAGAATAAACTTCCAAAATTTTGGAGGCCATTCATTTGGATCATTCTTGGATGGTTTACGATAAGAAAATGCTCCTTGATCTTTAAACTGTTGGGAAAGAAAAAAATTTATTAAATGAATAATTAATTTATCAAATCATTAAACGAATATGATTATTAACATACAATAATATTTCCAGTCATTCCAAAATGAAAGACAGGGTTTGGACTTTTGTTCATTTCTAATATTTTAAACACGACATTAAAAAAACGAGTCAACCGATGATATTGAGCGTAATCCAACAAATTTACTCACCAAAATAGAAATATTTTCCCCATCGACCAGTACTTTTGACGATCTTATTTATTAAACTACGTTCAAATTCATCATTTGATATACCACAGAAGACCAACTTGTCTTCTTGCTAAGGTTAAGGTGAGGACTTTTTATAAGCTTAATGAACTTTATATTATTTTAAACGCAAATTCGTTTAGAATTAATACCGTTTCAACTTGAACAATTTGTTTTCCAACTAAATTTGCATTACAAGCTCTCTCTGCACGGTGAACCTCTGGAAGTTCCGGCATTGAATGTTTGACAACGAAAACTTTTGATCTTTGTGAAAAAAATGATAATTCGAGTAGATCACTTTTGCATAAATTATAACTTAGAATCCCGTGTTCGATTAATTAATTTAGTAAAAATACACGCGTTAAACATTGTTAGTCCGGAGTGTAACCAAGGCCCGCTCAAAATTGAGTCGATGCTGATTGGATCTTCCTTTAATTATGCTCCGGACTGTACCCTAGTTTAATTACAATAAAATGTATACATTAAAAATAATTTACTGTATAAATATGGACTTATTATAATTACCACATTTGATATATTTGCAAATTATTCTTTTTTTTTTTTAGGTTTTTTTAATCTTTGAAAAATAATTATGTATAATAAAGATAATTTTCTTCTGATTATCATAACTTCACAGGTTATTAGAACAATTCCAATTTCATTTTAAATAGTGATTATCAAGGAGTAAAATTTCTTATACTCCACGAATCTCAATCATTAATAATTTACGTTCTTCGTAATCATCCTATTTGGCTTCTGATCTTGAATTATAAATAAGTAAAAAAAATTCATTTCCTAATTAAAGCTATAACAAAATTTTATAATAAAGTATCTTTTCTGGTTTATCGTTCTTATTTGTATCGTCCATGTCCTGACAGTTCATGCATTACCTACTAATGAAGGTAATCGTTTATTTTCATTAGTGGACGGATAATTCTAGAATCCAATATTCTTTTATAACCGTCTATTCAAACTCGTGTTTCTTTTCACCTGTTGCTGTATTATTTATTATTATATATATATATATATATTCTTGGCATGTTTTGTTGAATTTACTACTAATATTTACCGTAAAGAAATAAATATAAGGAAAAATCATATTGTATTTTTAACCAACTTTAATTTTCCGTCGTATTGCGTTATGTAATCAAATCAACCATTTTTTTTCTTCTTCTAGTAATGACCTTGCATATCCATCGACGAACAATGAATTTGCGAGTTTAGTAATATATTTCCGAAAAAAACGAAAGATCATCCTTTCCGAAATATAAACAATATTTCAACGTGAGAAAAAAAACATGTAGAGTTTAAATTTGTTCGAAGAAAAATTTATTCTTTTTTAATCATCTATTTCTTATGCTATTAAAAATCGTGTTTTGTTTTTATTTATAAGGATAATAATCATCCTTGGTTTATTTTTTTATTTAAAAATACGTTATCTGTTCCTATTTTTTAGACTTTTCCGGACGAAATCATGTAATGTTTGTAATGTTTAAAACTAGATGTTCTCGTGATCCTCTATTGTCATTACAAATGCAAATATTCATGTGCCCCGTACCAACATCAAATGGCCTGATTGGTTTATTGAATTCATAGTTGAGATAAAAAACGTATTATTTAGTGAAAATCGGAACATCTTTCGAACAAGATTTCTCAGGGTGTGAGAAAATAAAATAATAATAATAAGAAAAAAAGTAATTCTCGTTTTTTTTTGAACTTTCATCCCCTCTTAAAAACATATACAATAACAAAATTGAAATTAAAATTGAATAAAACTATTTAAACCAAAATTCATGGCCAGAAACTTACTTTTAATTGGTACAACAGGAAGTGGCAAGTCTACATTGGCCAATGTGATAAGCGATACCATTAATTTTAAAGAAAGTGAGGCTAGCGTTAGCGAAACTCGAGATATTCAAAGCGAAAGGTTTTACATAAATGGAGTGAGATATAACATAATTGACACCATAGGAATTAATGATACATATTTAACTACTCACCAAGTCTTACAAACTATCGTAAATACAACGCGTACACTTAGAGGTGGGTTAAATCAAATTCTATTCGTAACGGATGGAAGATTTACCAGGGTGGAAATAACCGCTTATAATTTATTGAAGAAAGTCATCTTTGATGAAGATGTTTATGAGTTTACTACTATCGTTAGAACTAGATTTCCTAGTTTTAGGGATGATTTGGCTTGTGATGAGGATTACGCAAGGATAATCAATGAAAACGAGCAGGTTTTTGATATAGTTGAGTCATGTAATAAAATAATTCACGTAAACAATATGACGGTCATTGAAGATCCTGATCAAAATTCCCGATTTGATTCAAGAGAGAAATTATTATCCCATTTAATAAATTGTCAAAGAATTTATAGACCAAAGAATTTAACTGAATTAAATGAAAAAACAAAAGAAAATATGGAAGAAAGAGAAATTTTACAACAAACCTTAATTCAGATAAATGAAAGAATTGAAGAAATAAAGCGAAATGTAAAAAAACAACAAGTTGAATTGGATAAGCAAACAAAGGAATCGTTAAAAATATTGGAAAAAATCGATTCATTGAATGAAATAATCAGTGATGAGACGGAACAACATATTGAATCGAGAAATTCGGATTTTCTTGTAAAATGCAATATTATGTGATCATTGAGTATTTTTAAATTTAAAAAATTATGTAAAAATATGTAATAACTGTATTAATTAGTCTTTTATCAATAAAGTATATTTTTTTAATCTGCTTAAATAATAAAAAATCCACAGTTAATAATTTATAAAGGAAATTGATAAGCATAATAAATATTAATAAATATGATCATGTGAATGGATAAACGTGATAACGAAATTGAAAGCAACCTTGAAGTGCTATAGCATTTGTTAGGATGCTATGAATTAATAGACAACTCCGTTTGCGGGTACATGTTGTTAAAGTTTTATTCAGAGGATAATAAAACATTTAAGCGCGAATTATATCGTTAAAATATTTCATGGATAATCAGCTAGTACTGAATGTTTATCCAAATGTATATTTTTTTTATAATTGATAATAATGTTTCAAATAAAATTAACATATTCATATTTATCCTTTTATTTACCAAACATGAAATACAATTGTTTATCATACTTTCTTTATTTGGTTGAATCAGTTGATAATTTATTATTAAATCACGGCAAAACCCTCATGTTTCAACAGGTGGAGAAATCGAAATAAGTTTTGAAGTTTTGCTAAAAACCGTGAAAGTGGCAAAATAATTTTCACTTACCAAAATAGTATTCTCTTCGGGTACATTTTAATACATCCTTTTGGAAATTTCTAGAATTTAGTCTGAATCTCTGTTGAAACCATTGAAATCCAACGAAATTTTCGAAACCCCCTCAACCTTATGCGTGAAAATTTTAAAGGTTAACCCATGTTTTAAAAAAAAGATGACAAAATTAAAAATTGTGAATAAATTCTTGAACTTATTAACGTATTTTAATGGGATAAGTTTCGCTAGATGTGAACAAACATAAATATATATAGCTTCCAAAACTTTTTTTGTTCATGGTGAATAAAATTTTTTTGTTAATATAGCATATAAAGTTAAATTTAATTATTTTATAGTTTTTTTTCCTTTTTTACTGCAAAACTCACATATATATTAATTAACTAATTTAAAAATTAGAATTATTCCATTTAAAATACAATAAACCAATAGAATAAAAAGTTGTAAATTCTTTATTTTTATAATAAAAAATATATATAGTCCTCAGCGAAAAGAATGGCGGACTGAACTTTAAACGGCAAGTAAATTTTTACATATTAAATAAAAAAATTTTTTTTTATTTAAAATAACAATACTAACTACACATTTTTCATTATTTAACTAATACTATGTATGACCTCCTTACGCATCGATACATGCTTGAACCCATTTCAGCATGCTATTAATGCGTCCAAGTAACACATCGTCATTGAGATCTTCCCATTCCTGCTGGATTACATCAAGAAAAATGTTACAGGTAATATTATTTTTTTTTGCTACTAAATTCTTGATCTTTTTCTCCACTTTTTCCTTCAATACTGACCACAGATTCTCGATAGTGTTCAAATTTGGGCTGTAAGAAGGCCAAGGAAGAACTCGTCTTGGAAGATGCTTATCCAAGTTACTCTGAACATCTAGCGAGGTGTGTTTCAGGTCATTATCTTGCTGAAAGACCCAAGAATGACTGTGTAATGAATTGACATTATTATATAAATGATCGTCTAATATTTTTCAGTACAAATAACGATCCAAATTCTCAGTAAACAGATGAATGCCGATCTTTCTTTTAACGCTAATCGCAATCCAAACATGAATTTTAAATAGATGCTTTACCATAGGAGCAACTGGTTATGCATTATGAGACCATGCATTTATAGTGTTTCTAAACATTTAGAGTGTTATTTCATCAGAAAAAACAACTTTCTTTCAGTTGTAATGCAGATGGTCATGTGCCCAAGACAAGCGAATATCCTTCACTTTCTGGATCAAAAGAGGGACTTTCCTTAGAAGAACAGAAATATATCCAAGATTTTGGAGCTCGCGATATATTGTATGTTCACTGATCTCGAAGTCAGAATTATTTTCTTCCAATTTGGTCTTTATTTCACTTACTGTAGTTAAATGATTGTGCTTTAAAATTTTTCTGATATAGTGATGTTGGTTCACAACCAATTTTCTTGGGCGGCCTGAAGAGTGACCAATGAAAAGATTGCCAGTTTTGCATAACAAACTGACATATCATTCACATGTGCGTAAAAAAATATACATGCAGTTGGAAATTTTCTTTGCATTATGCACATTTTGGTCTCAAAGAGACTTAACGAAGTTTTGTTATATTTTAAGGAAACTCAGCATTTTTTTTCGAAGATAAAAAACAACAATAATAATAACAAACCTTTGTTTATTTGATTTACCTTTTAAATCAGGATTCTAATATCTGATTTGGGTATATAAACAATAAGCTAAATCAGAAATGCAGTTCAGCTGTGCCTAAAAATAAACATGGTATTAAAACCGCTATTCTTTTCATCAGGGACTGTAAATTTAATTAAAAGTTATAATTATAATCTATTATAAATATAAAATCATTATATATTATTTATAAAATATTAAAATAATTTTATTTGGATATGAAGTTTTTTAAATATTATTGCAAATTTCTAATTAAATAAATTATATAGATTGTGATCTAAGAAAATCAAG